TGCTTGATTGTTTGTCTGGTGTTGATCCTGGTGTTAATCCCTGCTTATCTGGGTGTTAATTGCTGGCGAGGAGGTAGTCTGATCTTTTTGTTTCCTTTTCAGCTTTTTATTGTCTCTTTTGAATGGTGTATAAATTTTGTTTATCTCTATGTGCCTGTTGATGGCTGACTTGCCTGAATACCAAGCTTCCAGGAATTCTCTTGCGTTTTTGGATTTAGCTTGGTCTAGGATGCTCACAGTTTCCCAGTTGAAACTATGGTTGACTCTGTCCGTGTGTTGTGAGATTAAAGAGTTTTCACTGTGTCTTCTGACTGCTAGTTGGTGTTCATGGATGCGCTCTGTTAGTTTTTTGCCTGTCTGTCCCAGTCTCATATTTGCTAAGTAGAATTTGAGATTACAAAGTGCTACAGGTTAGTGCTACCAGACTAGCTGAGCTGCAAAAATTTGATGACCACTAGATGGCAGGAAAGGATTAGAGTTTTCTGTATCTGTTTGTCACCATTTAGTGGTCATCTGGATTTTTGCAGCCTCAGTCTGGTAATCTTATTATAGCCTCAAGCCTTCTTTCACTCTCCTGAGATAGAAGCATTTAGCATTTCCAACAGGAGCAAAGTACCCATTTTGCTAGAAGAAAGACATATAGGTAGCCCTCAGGTTACAATTGCAATTGGGACTGGGACTGCCATCACTAAGCAAAGTGGTGCTAAAGCATGACATCACATGACTGCATCACTTAGCGACAGCAATCCCAGCAGTCCTGGTTGCTGTCATAACCCCAGGACCATGCGGGTCATTAAGGAGAAAGAGGCAGGAGTCCCAGGTAAGGAGCGTGGGCAGGCGGGCGATGGCCGGAGGGCGTTGGGAAGGACACTGGGGACAGCAGGAGGGTGAGCAGTATGGCCAGGTGGGACAGTGGGTGCTGCGGCTCCATGCAAGTAGGTCCAGGTGGGCGCAGGCACTTTGGAGTATGAGAGTCCTGGGATCTCATACTCCATAGCTGGCTCCTCAAGAGAAAAAGTGGCAGGAGCAACTTGCAACCTTCCCTGCCAGCTTCCCCACTGACTTTGCTTGTTGGAAGCTGGTACAGAAGGTTGCAAATGGCAATCACATGACCGCAGCTTGCTGCAATGTAATCATCAGCCAGGCACCCAAGCACTGGATCGCGATCGTGCGATTGCAGGGACACTGTGACGGCTGCAACTTTGTGGACTAGTCATAAGTCCCCTTCATTCAATGCCATCATAATTTTGAACGGTCGCTGAATGAGTGGTCATAACTTGAGGACTACCTGTATAAAATCAGCTTCTGAGAAGTGAAAGACACACTACAATTACATCACCAAAAAGGGTCAACAATTTTTATTTTGTGCTTTTTGAAAGGGAGAGTTTTAAGTAAATTAGGTGCACTAAGCTTAGCTAAGCCTTAATGCACCTATTTTGCTTCTTCCTTTGTTAAATAAATAAATAAATTTATGCCATCATCTTGTGGGATTTTGTTACTAAATTTCTATAATAGGATCTTGGGGCTACAAAGAAGGGGTTGGGATGAGGCTACCAAACCCTGTTTTAGAGAAGTCCACATTTTTGTAGTTCAGACTTCCTACTAAACAGTTGGGAGTAACATGTAGCAAAACACAACAGAAAACAAAAACATTTAAAGTAACCAAAAGAAAAATACTTACACAATAGCATTAACTCCTCTGCAGTAGCGTTCCCACATACTTCGGAACCGTGGCTGTCCTCCTATATCCCAGATCTTTTAAGGGATAAAAAAAGAATTATACCTGAAGGCTTTTGCCAGTCATGGAGCACTATAGCTCAGAATGTTCATTTGCCAGGAAGAGCAACCAAACACCTCTTCTAATACTACTGCAATATAAAAGGTGCTGGTTAAAGATCAGTAGAGTTCTGAACAATCCAAACAATGCAGACAAGGTGACTTGTCCCTAAACACTGTATGCAGAACAGCACAGCTCCTATTCAGTCTGAACTGGATGCTACAAATTGTACAGATTTCATCAGCTTGCCTCTATCCCCAAAGAATCCCCTACAAAACATCACAAGGCCTGCGGCCACCTTGTCCCTCATGTACTTCCCCAAAAGGAACTGGGTCACCCTGAATAGGTCCACTGGGCAGAAATTTGTGACTGCAATAAGAACAAAGAAGTACAAATGCTTTGCTGTTGTTATTACTACTGTGTAGGCCAGCGTTTGGTCAAATTCACTTCTGGTCTTTTGCCACCACCTTTTCATCTCCCACTGCTCCTCTGAAAACCAGTGGGAGCTGGTTTGGATGAGAAGCTCACAGAGGCAATCTCATTCAGTGGTCTGGTTGTACTCTTATACCAGAGACTAACCAGGCCCAGGACACAGCTTGTGAACTTGAAACCCTGCAATACAGCATGGTGGGTACAATAGTTCTGAAGCCTGAAAGACTTGCCTCTAAAGAGATCATTTGAAATGTAGGGAAAACCACTAGACCACTCAGGTATGACTTAGATCATATTCCTTGTGAGTACACAGTGAAGGTGATGAATAGATTTAG